AGTCATTTGAGGGAATGGAAAGCCAGAATTAATGTCTAATTATGTTTAGTTTAGCCGGAGCATACAAATTTCTTATCTCATTTACCTACCCACATGCAGTTACTGTTCCCACAAGAGACACTAAAGAGAAATTAGAGCTTTTTGCTAATACCAGTCTAGAGAGTTTCACTTTACAGAAGTACTTCACAAAAAGTCCTTTGTAACCACGATGGAAAAACCTAAGGATTTTTTTCAATCACATCACAGCTCACTGACTGTAAAAGTTTTTGTTTTGGTTTTATATTTTTTCCCCTTTTCTTAAAGTCTTTCTAGCATTGGCTATTAAGGACTTCTCACTTTTTATCGCTTTATAAGGAAAAAAACAGCTCAGTTTATCTTTTGCTTATTTTCTGGAGCCTGCAGGAAGCCTCTGCCATCCTAAAGAAAGCCACACATAATAAAGCAGCTTTAGACCAGTAAGCCAGTCATTCCCAATTCATCAGTCAAAGTGTTATGCAAGTGGCCCCCTAAATTGATAAATTCCCACAGTGCCTGTTGACCCAGCTGCCAAGTGCTCATGCAGCAGGTGTTGTTTTCATGACCACCCTGACAGTAATACAAACTGTTTAGCAGTTGCATTGACCTCTTAGCTATTAACATTGATACAGGCTTCGCTAGGGACTAGTTTTCAAACATGACAGAATTTCTTAAGACTAGAGGTCATGAACAAGTATACCATATAAGAATAAATTTGATATGCTGCTGAGTTTAAATCTTAAAAGCCATGAGTTTTTTCCACATTATTCCCATGTAGTAAATCTGGAGACAAGTAACGAGCTTTTGGCATCTCTCCCAGGACTAAAGGTATACTTTTTAATTTTAGAAGCTGTACCTGAAGAGATGCTATATTTATTCTATGACAAGCAGTAAATTTAGGTTATGACAAGGAGTGAAACAAAATTATTTTTTCTTGACATTTTCCCTTATAAAGGAAAAAACCTCAACAACTGATGCACAAATGTTGGTGATATACTTAAGTATCATTCTAATACCTAAATCTTATGTGCAGGTAATTGAATCATAATTCCATATATTTTATATCAAGATTTCTACAGCAGTGTCTCCTGTTTGAAATCTGAACATTCAGGAATTTTGTCTGGCTTTTTTTCCCTCATTTTAGTAGGGAAGTAGAGATTTTTGATATTGTGTCAAAAGCCTGGTGGAGAAATTGTTTTGTGTTCAGTATCATTATTTTACTGCAGAGTTTGGCCCTCCATTTGCATTGATTTATGCACATCTGAGTTACAGATAGCACATACAGCAACTAACTCACTCTATGTGTTCAGTGGAGCTGCGAACAGAGATGCGCTGAAGAAAGCATGAAGTCCTGAGCTATGCCAGAATGAGTTTTAATCTATTAAAGCATGTTGGACTTTTAAATGCCTCTAAACAGTAGAGGCAGCTTTCTTCTACTAGCTATGGTAAGGCAGCAAAAATTATTTTACACATTGCACAGTCAAGAATTCCCGGCTCACTGCACACGTCAGCGAAGGGATCCAGCGAGGCCCCAGCCCCCAGTACAACTTTTCCTTCGTGTTCCATACATTTAGAGTTGTTATACAGTTTCATGAAAGCCTGTTTTAACAAGCAAGATATACTGTACTGTACTGTATATATGAACAGCTCTTTAAGATAACTAGAATTGTACAGACCATATAAATAGTCATTATCAGCTACATTTTTGGCTGACTTTCTGCGGACCAAATAGTGCTTACTGTAAGAGTAATCAAGCTGTACCCTTTAGAGTTTTATAGATTGAGGGATACAAGGAAAAAAATTCTCTCCAGCCCAGAGTGTGGCTCCATCTATTCCTCTCCATTTTCCACATCAGGAGACACAGCGAAGCACTGGTTATATAAACAAAATCATGGTCCTGTCTAAGTGCAGGAGAGATCAAGTCCCAACAGTCGGTTTCAGGACTTGCATTATCTTTGTGAGACTCACTTCAACTTGTGCTCAGCCTGAACATTTCCACCTCTTCCAAGCCCTAAGAATGCAAAGTGTGAGTGCTGTGGGGCAGAGGCTTTCTCTCGATACGTGTTGGTCCCAGAGCAGCGCTTGAATCCTGAGAAAGAAGTGTGGCTTTTCCCAGAGCACAGCTCAGGGAAACCAGCCATTCTCACACGCGAGGATTCCACTGCAGCTGCATTTGTATTCCTCTTCTCCTAAGGCACCTTGCCAACCAGAAATTTTTCCATCTTTGTTTCTACTCCACCCCACCATTAATAAATATTATCCAAGGCTGATGAGTGCAAGTTCTTGACTGATGGTAGAATAAAAGGCGAGGTTATATTCACAAGTACCGAGAGCGGTAGAAAACTTTAAATCATAAAAGTGACCAGCCATGCTCAGCTGGATTCAAAGAAGTGTGACTTCTGCCTTCCTAATTGCATACAAAAAGAACCATGTATTATAGCATTATCATAGACAAATACTTCACATCTATTAATAAAATAAATCATTATCTTCCCAAATAAAACACCTTAGTGACTTAAGAGGTCATTCTTTGCTAAAGATATGCCACTTTTCCAAGAGATGCTGCAGGAGCCTGAGGTTATGTTTCTTGCTAAGCTCTGTACTGTAATTGTGCTTGAGCAAGAGAAAGAGAAGCCTCCCATTTAAAGTAACTTCAAATAAATGAGCTTTAAGTAGTGACAGGTAAAGAATGTTGCATCCTGTGCAGCTGGCTGTACAGAAATAATTTCAAATGTAGATTTTTCTTCCAGATGTAGGAATTAGAAGACAGATCTTTTTACCTTAAATCTGAACAAGTCTCCACTGAAAATCATATTCTCTCTAACCGTTTCCAAAACAGCATTGCATGTGAATATTGCTTATAATTTTTTAAGCGTAGGAACTTTCTTAACTAGAACATATGTAATGTACTCATTGCTCATTACAGAACTGGAATTCCTTACAGGTCAAAAAAATAATGCATTCTATTTAAAAGACAGCTGTGGAAGTATGTAAACAGTAAAACTGAAAGGGTTTCAAATATGCTGCACCAAAGGTGTCAAAACATGTTTCAAATCCCTTAAATAATACAGGACCTTCAGTGTGATTCTCAGAAATGCTTTGGAAATTAGGACTTGGTGCTATGCTAAAGAAGCACCTTCACATTCTTTCTGTCCTTAACATCTTTGGGGAACCAGTTCTTGTGTGTGGATGTTTAAACAATCATGGTAGTAATTAAGACTGAGCAGAGAAAGTGCTATGCTGAAACCAACCAGTGGGCCTGTACTCTATTACTCTCTTTCAAGGAAAAATGCAACAAACCCTGTAGTGAACCATTAACAAGATGCACATCAAAATAGGAGGGGGAAATGTAAGCCCAGTCAACTGGTGAGGGACTTAAGTATGAATTCTTATTTTTTAAAAAATTATTTTTACCCTATCTAATATTACTCTGAATGGCACCATTGCACACAGAAATATCTATTTAAAATCCTAGTACAACATGGGCTTCAGGTATCTTTTGATATCTTAGTAGTCACAAATTCAGCTAGTTAATTTTATTTTCTTTAGCTTAATTTTTTCCCTTGATGTTTCTTCTGATGTTGAAATGGGAGATAAACAAGACTGCTAAATTTTTTTCTTCTTTTTCTTCTGTCACTGTTTTCTATACCTCCATCATACCTGTTTTTTCTCAGACCCCAAAAACTATCCTTTCCTCTGCACAGGAGTATCAGTCTAGGAATTTAATATGTGACAGAGTAATCAGTGCACAAGCTGCTATTCCAGCTATTTGCACATAATTGGGGTGTTAATACTAATGCCAGTATAATGAACAATGTCTTATTCTATTCTATTCTATTCTCTCATAGAATTTTGTTTTGGTTTGTTTGGATTTAGCTGGACACTTAGCCAAGGTTTCTCTAAGGTCCCCACTAAACTATTAGAATCTTTTTCCTGCTCATTTCAAGCTTAGTATGTAGATGATTTCCTAGAGAATGAGTAATTTTGTATTTGTCACTAATTAACTTAATTTTCCATGATGCTCCTATTTCAATTACTTGATTAGATCACTTGGGAGATCCTGACATTCTTTTCCAAACTTGTACCTGTGCAACCAAACCTACAGCAGAGACACAACATGGTGCCTCTACTAGGAACCTGTAGCCTTTGGATGGTCCTATCTTCCTAACCAAAACATCCAGTGTCAGAAATATTTTAAGCCATCTGAACTAGCATTTCCTTTGTGCATACATTCCACAGAATCACCTGATGGCGAATGGCTGAGTTTGGAAGGCACCTCTGGAGGACACCTGGTCCAACTGCCCTGCTCAAACAGGGACTCCTACAGCCAATTTCCCACACAATTTCTGAGTATCTCCAGTGATGGAGACTCCACAACTCTCTGGGCAACCTTTGCTAGTGCTTGGTCACTCTTGGAGTGAAAAAGTCTTTTCTGATGTTCAGATGCTTAAATAAGCATCCAGAATGCACAATCCAAATATCATTCTATGGAAATATGGAAATAAAAAGCCAGCAGTATAAAGCTGAACTCGTAGACAGAGGAAATACTTCTGCAAATTATTACACATCACAATGCCATAAAACTTGTTCAGGTTATTCTTCCCCCTTTCTTAGGGGAAATCTAGATGAGCTAGAAATGAAAAAAAAACCACCATCACTGCCTGCAATAAGCTGGCAGCTTTATGAAGATAAACTTTCAGCAAGCTGGTTTTGGCAGGTTCATGCTTCAAGAATTCTCAAGGAATATTGCTTAATCTTGTGGAAGATCTCTAAAGGCAGTTACATAAAGTAATAGCAAATTGTACTGTATTTTCCTGTAACATATCATCTCTAGGCTTACTTCTTTTTCTGAGGAAAAAAGAAATCTCATTATTTTTTCCACTGATAATACTACAGCAGAGAATCAGGTCTTTAATTTAAAAATCAAAACTTTTCTTCTTGATCCCAACTTTTAACTCTTTGTTTGGTTTGTATGGTTTTTTCAGGCCTTTAGTCCCTGAAGAATGCAAAAGAACAGCTCAGCCTGCACAGATACTGACATCTGAATGCTCAAGGCACTGTAGGAACGGGCACTGCACTCCCACAGGAAAATGCTGCTGTAATCAAGGCTGGGAAGGAGAGTTCTGCAGAACTGGTTTGTATACAGATTCACACCAACAAGTGAAAAAAGCAGTGACATGTCATAATTGGCTTTTCATTATTTGCTCTGAGAAATTTTCAGTATATGTTCACCAATATATTATATTGGCCTTCAGGTGTAAGACAACATTAGAAAATACTGATTTCATGAGCTGCAGGAGAACAATAAGTCTTTGGATGAATGCAACTGCTAAAACATCTAATGCATTGTGAGCCAGTGCAGAATGCAATTGATAGCATAAACGTGACAACAGTATTCTTTTTTTTTCCACCAAGATTTTCCAATGAAAGGAGATGCAGTCACTACATGTCCTGTGTTTGGACATTCACCTTCCACTTCCAGTATCATCACTGTCAGTGTCAGAGAGGTGACTTGTCAGGAGAGATGATAAAGAACTGCAAGTCTCCATTGCATCTTTTGCACTTCACTAATTTAATGCATATTTTTTAGTTTTGGTGCATTCTTGCTTGGATCCTGCCAAATGAAAGGGCTCCAGTTTGTTGAAGAGAATTCTCTGTACAATGTATCACTAAACAGGAAATAATCAATGTTGTTGTCTTCCATTATTACAGTCATTTCATCAAGTCCTATCTTGTTGCTTTAGCTTTTAGAAGTCACTTGGAAAAGTGACTGTGATTGAACTAAGATGATGGGTGTGCCAGCCAAGGGATGAGGTGAATGAGCCTCGAGTGTCACAGCTGTGCCATCACTGTCTCAGAGGCCATGGCTCTGTCTGAGCTGTGTCATTTTGGCCAGTACAGCTGTTCCAGAGCCAGCCTGGGTACCAGGAGATGTTATTACAAAGATTTTATTCCTCAGCACCAGCAGAGTCCCCTGACTGGGCATATTTTGGACAGCAAGTTTGACCACATGAGAGATTAACACCGAGATGTCCATATTGTGGCAGTAGAACTCAAAGAAATAGCAAGGACTAAGGGAAAACAAGGATCCCACGATGGATCATGGATAATCCAGGTTGGAAGGGCACTTAGGAGGGGCCTGGTGAAGTAGGGTCAGCTATGAAGCACTTATGGGCTGGAGTGTAAATTTCAGCAATCTCCAGGTTTTTAGTGATGAGCAGAAGTGACTGCGGAATGAAATGAAATTATTAAACCACTAATAAAGTATCTTACTGGCAAAGATTCATAAGGTGACCATCCAAAACCCAGAAATGAAGGCAGGTTAGAGAAATGGATGAGATAATCTGGCCAAATATCCCAACTTCAATTGTCCTCACTTTCCAGAGCCATCCTGCTTTTAGAGAATGAGGCCCATTCTACAGCCTTTGTCCAAGTGGAACTTAAAAGTAGAAAATGCCTCTAACATGAACATAAATGGGTCTTGATAACCTGCTTTGTTTTAAAAATCACAGCTTTATGATAGATTATTTGATGGACATGATGAGCAAGAAAGCCACAGAAAATATGTAGACTAAGGATCTTCCTTCCCTGTATCCCACACGACAATTAATAGGGATTGTCTAAGTTGAACCTCAAGCTACTATTATAGTTTAAATAAGAAAATTTACCTTTCAAGGTATGAGTTTCCTTTTCATGTAGTTAAGAAACTCTTGGACAGAATCAAGAAAACCTGCATTTTGTTAGTGTAGTATAAATATCCATAAATCCATATTAAAGTTCATTGCAATAGACATTAACATTAAGCAGCATAACACCTGCAGAAAAAGAAAGAAATATTATATACATTATATATATCACAGTCCTGTGACTACCCCAGAAGAAAATACTACCACACCTAAAGTTATTGATTATTAATTTTGCTAACACTGGCTACAATTTAAAATAGGAGCTATATTTGAAGGACTGAAGCAAGCTGATTAACCTAGAATTCTATAGATAAATCATCAGGCATCTGCTAAAGAGAGGGGAAAACTTTGAAACTTATATAACTGAGAAAAATGGTTGAAAAAACACCCTGGCACTTTTTTCTCCAATAGGAGTTCAATTTTGGTCCCAGCATTAAGTGATTCAAGAGCCAAAGGAGTGCATTGGGTGCACTGCTCAGGTGTAGTGTGCTTTGCTGAGGCACGTGTGTAGTGCAGAACTCTGAGTATACAAAGGAGCTTGCTTGAGATTCCTAAATGAAACCTGAATATGGGAATTGGACATTTCATAAAACATCTGTTATTTGAGTTTATCAGTCTTGTCCCAGGTAACGTCCTCAAAATTATACACAAAATTACGTCCTCCCCCTAATATTCTAAAACTTTAGAAAATATGTTTTCAACACTCCTAATATTTCATCCTTTCTATGTTGTTTTTAATTTATATGCTTTTTCACTACAAGGTTAGAAAAGCTCTAAATGAATGTGTACTGTATCTTTTTCTGGTTTGTGATGACCTAAACAAATTAGAAAATCGCTGTTTTTTTCACCCACAGCAAAATGTGACCCAGCCTGTCGACATGGAGGTGTCTGTGTGAGGCCCAATAAATGCTTGTGTAAAAAAGGCTATCTCGGCCCCCAGTGTGAACAAGTGGACAGAAACATCCGAAGAGTGACAAGGGCAGGTATTCTGGATCAGATCCTAGACATGACATCCTATTTGCTGGATCTAACCAGCTACATTGTATAGTTTCTGGGACTATTTGGAAACTCCACTTTCAGCGGGCATTTGTTTTGAATCCTGTCGTTTTTGAAAGACTGTTATCCTGCAACAAACACCGGTGATTTGATTTCCTTTATTAATTTAAGTGTAATATCCACCAATGTGCAGAAAAATCCCCTGTATGTGTGTAAATATTCCTGCACGTCTCCACAGGCGTCCTGATATCCAATATGTGCACGCATACACACACAGCCGCTATCACAAATACGGTTTTGCAGAGAGTGGAATCTTTTTTAATATTTATTTCTTCATGAGAAATAGTTTACGAAGCAATTCCACTGTAAAACACATTTTCGTCAAAGGACTTTCCTGATGTCTTAATGGATTCTTTGACATCCCAGAAATCTCCTTCCTGTACCTATCTGATTATAGCAGTGAGAAAGCAGTTTCCAAACATCGCTGTATAAACTGCTGGACTTAATAAATTCCAGTTGTAACAGTTTCTAAGGTAAACTGAACTCCATCATGAGACAATATTTCAGAACTGCTTAATGCATTCCTATCTAGGCAATTCATTGTAAGACTGTAACCTTCACTTTCATCAATGTAACTCTATTACAGAATGTTATTTCTTTATCTAGCATAGATGCAAAAATCTGGTTATCGCAGCTTAATATCAAGATTGTTTCAAGTGTTTAATAATTAAATTATATTCGCATATTTCAAAACCAGTCATCCTAGAAGGTCTGCTTTTTATCATATATTTTATTTAACGATGGGCACTGGGTTCATGTTACATATTTATATTATTTTATTTTATTTTTATAATATAGACATCACCTAGATGAGACAGTTTTACCATGTCCTGTAAAATACTAAAGTTACATTTTTCACCAAGGTAATTGGAAAGAGTGGGAAAGAGAGAGCAAACACACACACACTTTAATGTGTTGTGGATCTAATCTAGAAACGTACCCTTGTGTCAACTTGTGATCATTTACACCTGATGAGAAAAAAAGAGCAAACGCCCACCAACCCTAATAAAATTGCAGCATGTGTTTCAAGTGTCCATAAAGTGATTTTCACTGTAGCAGGACAGTGCAAGAGGTGATACCCAGGCAGACTCTGCCCATGTCACACTGAACGGGGCGCCCCAGGGCGAGAGCTCGCATGAGCACGGGCTGCCTGTGCACGGTGTCACTTGTACAAAACCTACAGCAGCTCTTGCCAAATGTGGTTCTAAGTGTTCCTGGGAGAGCCAACAGAAAACCAAGTCTTTGTAAATGTATCAATAAATGTGGTCTACGTGCTGTAGTCAGGTTTTCTAAGGTATTAATTAATTAGATGTATTCTGCAGAACTGGTGCCCTCTTATCTCCAGCTCTGCTGGCAGTTTCTTTGTTCGCTGCTTACCAACTATCAGCTTTCCTTTGCACTACCTGCAAACTACCTACTGCAGCTTTTACAAAATCTTGCCTAAGAAAAGAAAGCAGAGCAGCCCCAGTGTGCACATCCTGTGGTCCTTAGAAGCAGCTGCTCATGCATCAAAGACTGACAACACTTTAGCCAAACAGATCTAAAAGACTTTCCCCATGTTACATTCCAGTAGTAAAATCATCTCTCCAGGGCAGCAGCATGCAACAAATTTTCCTTTATAGAAATTTGTCATTGTTCATTTAGTAAGTATTAAATCTGAAATTACAGCATAACCAATACTTGCATTTCTGTGTCTCACACATTCCAGCTCTGAGGAACAGACAATTACATTTGCCTTCCATATATGTTTGCCTGGGTTTCAGTGACCTCATGCCAAATGGAATTGGTTGAGAAATCTTGGTTAAGTGCTCAGAGAACAATGGTCTGCATTAAAAAGTGCATGCATAATTTTGCACAATGTAGATTCAACTGACAGTCCATTGAAAGACATCTTGGGATTAAATGAGCATGAAGACCAAATTGCCCTCTCACCCCAGAAAAGGGTGGTCCCTTATAGTCACACGAACACTTCATTGGCTAAGCAGTGTGACCAATCTTAAAATGAACCCTGTGGTAGCATCTGTAGGTTAATAGCAGCTCTTTGTCTCCACTGCTTTCTGCCTTTAGTCTTTTCCCTGAATTCCATCACAAAAAGTTCTACAATTAAAAAATGTCCTGACAACCATTTTTGTAAATTGACCTTAGCATCTAATCTTTCCTTATTCAACGTGGGTGACAAAAACGTGAACTTCTCATGAATGAGCCAGCTGTCTAAATCTGTCACATAGCACGGTTTTATTACACTCTTCATAGTCAGCAAGGCAAGAAAGTTGCTGAAGTATTTTAGCAACATTTAAATATCTGACAGAGATAACATCTTTAACACTTTCTTCAATGAAATATATTTAAAAATAAACCCAACTTTAACTCTACTGTGACACGTTTTCAACAACCAGCTGGGGAGATGTGATAGCTCTTTTCTCACTGCTTAGTGCCTTAAAAAATGCCACAGATGGCACCTAAATTGGAGGTTCACAATAATATATACATGCCACAGTCATGCAGAGAACAGAAAACAATGATCTTGGAGTTTTGATCTTAATAATAATGAAAATTTAGTTTACTAGTGAAATCCAAAAATAAAAATCCAGTAAGAGCAAAGAATTAAATCCAGCCCTCATTCAAATCAACAGCAAAAACTCACATCGACTGTGCTGCACCCAGAAAATCACTTTCAAATTTAAGCAAAATTCTTCAGTTTGTTTTATTAAAAAAAAAAAATCTGCTCTGAATCATTCCATAAAAACTTCAAAATTAAGAAATAATCTAAGTGAAGGTTTGAGGGAGAGACGAGATAGCTTGTGAAACTGTTTTGATTCATTTTTAAATCATCTTTTATATTGCGTGAAAGCAGGCATCTGCATTAAGCCCACATGTTCATAGGAAGTCCCAGTGGAAAAGAAGAATTCTCATAAAAAAAAAAAAAGAAAGAAAAAAAAATCCTAGCTGCTTATTTATCAAAAGAAATTATACTATTAAAAAGAGTGAGCAAACCCCAGGCCTAGCCACCCAAGATGCTGATATAAAAAGGGCAACTGCAGTAATTGCCCTGAGAATTGGCATGCAAAAAAAAAAAAAAAAAAAGGGTCTGTAGAAAGCCTGTTGCCAGTTAGGTCATTCTGCAGCCATTCTCACACAGCCTCCGAGAGTGTCCCAGAATAAAACTGAGCTTATAAATGAAACTAGATAAATGAGGCAATTAGATAAGGGCCTCCAGAAGGGATTTTATGTATGTGTTCAAGTTGTCTCTGTCTCTGTCTCTCTCTCTCCTAATCTTTTATTCCATTCATTTCTTCCTTTATTCGGAGCTACTGCCTCTCTGTTCCCAACACATTGTACATCTCAGGCATTCTGTCAGCCTTTCTGCTTCTGAAGGAGAACAAACCTACCTGTTGCAAGAAACATGACTCTCCCTGATGCCTGCTAGTGTTAACCCTCTGCTTTATTATTTTGGGAAGAAAACTCATCTTTCTCTTTTTACATGCTGCTGATCAGAAAGAGGGCATATTACTGGAATATAAGGAGAAACATCTTTACTCCATAGATAAGTAGGGAGACAAAAAGATGTTATGCAAAAGCAGCTCCAAATCATTTCACTCCATTTCAGAAAAACAGTAAACTCATTTTTCTACTGCGCCCCATAAGAAATACTAACTCAAAGCCCCCCTCTCTGGGAATAAATTTCTTCTGTTAACAGACAGGGACCCAGATCCAAACCCTTTTTACCTTTAAATCCTCACACATTGTTCTATTTCATGCAAACAAAGCGTGAGTTAGGTATAAATAAGAATATAAATTCTGTATCACTGATGAGACACCTCTGTTTATCTCCTTTCACTCACTTGTCCACATTTGGTTTTGCAGCTTCTTCCCTTCTAGACCCACAGCAAACATCAGCAATCCCTGGTTGCTGCAGGTGCTTATTCATTTTGAAAGTGCCTGACAGATGTGTGCATCAACATCTTCCCTTTTATCTTTTGGTCATTCCACAGAATGTTGTTATCTTATAGTGACTTCTAGCACTGTGTCTTAGCTGGGCACTTACAGTCCAGGAGTTCCAGCCTCACACAGCACAGGCACAAACAGACTGGAGCTGGAGGAAGGCAGAAATCACTTCAGTCACTGTGCTTATCACAAATTTACCCATTGCAATCCAGTGATCAGATGCCTTAACTGAAAACCAGAATGATATCCCTGGCATGATGGAATGTAGCTTTTCAGTACATGTTTTCTCTAATTTGGCTTGAGAAACAAGGACCTTTTCCTGTAAAATTATGCAAAAAGGAGATGCTGAAAATATGAACAAGTAATTCCACAGGTGTTAAGTGGCACTGTGGTGAAAATGAGTTTTCATACATCTAATTCTAATTGCATCCATGAAATAGGCATTTATAAGATTAGATTGCATCCATGAAATAAGCATTTATAAGATTAGTTCTACGTGGAAAAAACAAGTCCAAGGATAGCCTGTACTGCTAATTTCTCCTTAATCATGCAAATTCTTAAAAGACATTCATGCATTTCAATTTACTATCCTTTAGATTATCTATGTATCACTTAAATTAGGAATTTTGCCATTTTGATCTTCTGTCCAACTTAAAAGGTGTCCTTTGTCTTGGAAAAAGACAAAAGGAAGCCAAGTGGTAAATTAAAACTAATTCTTTTCATTTTTCAAAATTAAAAAAAAATGTAAAATACTCATAAAAAATGCAGCCAACCCTTTAAATTTAATTCAAATTTGCAGAAAATTTGTATCAAATAATCTGAGTTCTAGCTACAAAAACCTGATAAATAAATATTTAAAATAAAACTAAGTAGTTTCAGGACAAAATGTTTCAGAAACATTGAAAAAAAATTAAGACTGCTTTGCTGAAAAGTTTGTTGTTTTCAACAACAGAGTAATTCAGTGAAATAAGGCACGTACTTTTTGGGATATAGGTGTGAAACAGCAGAAGCCACCTGAAAGCTTAGTACAGGATTACTTTAATCTTTGAGGGCGTGACTCCAAGCCCATTGATGTCAAGTGATAATCTCCTATTGACTTCATTAGTTATAGGATTAAGTCCTTAAAAGATATCCACTTAGCTGGCAGAAGATCTTAACTTCAGACATCAGTGCACACATGACCTCCCCATGTCTGCATCTGCAGCATTACACCAATGTTTTGTGGAACAAGAGTGCAGCCCCAGCCCTGCAGGAAGCCCTACAGAGC